TGCTTGTAAAGATGCGGTCGTGGTCTGAGACAATGGCTCGAGGAAGACCGTGAAGGCGATACACTTGGTCCATGAGAATCTTGGCAATAGATGCTGCTGTAAAAGGATGACGCGGGGGAATAAAGTGTGCAAACTTGGAGAATTTATCCACCACTACTAAGATGGCATTGAAGGAACCAGACTGTGGCAACCCTTCGATGAAATCCATTGAGATCACTTCCCAGGAGATAGACGGCACTAGAAGTGGTTGCAAGAGACCTGGGTAGCGGGATCTGTCCGGCTTAGCTTGCAAACACACAGCACATGACTGAACATAAGCCCAAATGTCTGATTTCATACCTGGCCAGAAGAACAAAGCTTTAAATTTACTGTATGTCGCTGGGGCTCCTGAGTGTCCACCCAAAGGACTGCTATGCAGTGCTGTCATGATTTTAAGCTGCATGGGCTTATTGGAACCGAGCCATAGACGGTTCTTGTATCTGATGACTCCTTGGACCAAAGAGAATGGAGGGTGGCTGTCTGGGCTAGCAGCCAGCTGAGATAACAGATCCAGAGTAGCTTGATCAGAGTAGTATCCCTATACCACTTCATCGAGCCAATTGTTGGAGACTGAAGATATAGCATAGCTCTGGTTTGGGTGCACGCGGCGGGATAGGGCATCTGCCATACCATTCTTCGAGCCTTTCTTGTACAGAATCTTATACTGTAACCCAAGCAACTTGGAGAAGACCTTCTGTTGCCATGCAGTATGTAGCCTCTGTTCATTAAGATGGACTAAGTTGCGATGATCAGTGTGAATGAAGAACTCGCCTTGAAGCAAGTAGTGACGCCACTATTCGACAGCCATCAAGATAGCGAGATATTCCTTCTCATAGACTGACAACCCTTGATTCTTGGGACTTAGAGCCTTGCTGATGAATGCTATGGGGTGCCCATTCTGCTGTAAGATTACTCCAATCCCTATACCCGAAGCATCAGTTTCAATGTGGAAGGGTAAGCTAAAATCCGACAACGCCAAGACAAGGGCAGTACAGAGAGCCTGTTTTAGTACCGAAAAGGCAGACTCATGGGTTGAGGTCCAAATGAACAACTGATCTTTCTTTAGGAGATCTATTAGAGGCTTGGCAATAATGCTGAAATGACGCACAAACTTCCGGTAATAGTCGGCAAGGCCCAGAAAACTACAGAGCTCCCGAACAGAAGATGGAACGGGCCATTCGAGCACTGCTTGCACCTTTGCTGGGTCCGTTGAAAGGCCTTGGCTGCTAATGATATGACCCAAGTATGAGATGGACTCCCTAGCGAAGGTACATTTTGAGAGCTTGAGCTTCCACTAATCAACGCGTAACCACTAAAAACTTAGCGCAGATGGTCGACATGAGCTTCAAAAGTGGGGCTGTAGATGAGGATATCGTCGAAGAAAACCAACACAAAGCGGCACAAACCCGGAGCCAAGGTACCATTCATTGCACCCTGAAATGTGTCGGCGCACCGGTAAGGCCGAGCGCCATCACTCTGAACTCGTACTGACCCAGGTGAGTCTAGAAAGCGGTCTTGAATTCTTCACCTGGCTTCAACAGTATTTGGTGAAAACCTGCTCGAAGATCCAAAGTTGAGAACCACTTAGCGTGTGCTAGCTCATCCATCAACTGGTCAAACACTGGCACAGGAAACTTAGATTTCCTTGTGAGTGCATTGAGATGTCTGAAGTCAACACAAAAGCGGTAGGAGCCATCTTTCTTTTTGACAAGCAGTACCGGCGAGGAGAAGGAGCTAGAGCTCGGCTGAATGAGTCCTTGTGACAACATCTCCTGAACATGGGCTTCAATTTCATCTTTCAATTTGGGAGGGTATCTATAGGGCCGGATGAAAATAGGTTGAGCACCAGGTAATAGAGGAATCTCATTGTTACAAGCGCGAGAAGGAGGAAGAGATGTTGGTGGCTGGAACAAGTCAGAAAACTCTTCAATTAACTAACTGATTGGAGCTGGAACAGTGATGGCATCATGATCTGAAGAAAGAACAGGCTCTATATGTTCAATGTGCAACAGCAGCTGTTCCGGTTCATCAAGAAGTATACCTTGCAACACCTGAGTCTAGCCATCATATGGAATTGCCAACCACTTCAAGGCCTAGTGAACTTGCATTGAGCTATAGGACTCTAGCCAATCCATGCCTAGAATGGCATCGAAGTTACCCAAAGGCAGCACTCGAAAGTCAGTGCGAAAGGAGCAGGAGACCATTGTCCACTGAACTTGGCGAAGCAGCAAGGAACTTTGTAAGACACCGCCACCAGCACTTTGTAAGACACCGCCACCAGCAACTTGCACACAGCTAGAGATAGATACTAAATCGAGGTGATTTAACTGAACAGCCGTAGTGTCACTGATAAATGAAGAGGAACTCCCTGAATCCACCAGAATATGCACTGGAATACCTGACATGGTTCCCAACAGCCGGATAGTATGAGCAGTAGGTACCCCAGACACAACTGACTTGGAGATGGCTAGAAACACTTGCTCAGTTGGTTGATCATTAGATGTTTCTACATCCGGATCCAGTGATTCCCAAAGAGCTTCGACCGCATGCAAGACCTCTGGTGCGCACCGATGATCCTGATTCCACTTGGCGTTGCACTTGTAGCATAATCCCAAGGCTCGACGGTATGCTTTGACAGCAGCCAGAGCACTAGTTGCCGAAGTTGTTGCTGTGGGCTCGGCAGCTGCAGGCTTCGCCATGGGCTTCTCGACACGAGGTGGAGGTGGTGGTAGCGGCAGCGTGGTCCGTGGAGTGGGTTTATGAGACCACTCAGCCGGTGCCGATGAACGGAACGAAGACTGGGAACCCGATTGGCCCGCCACCTCCTCCTGCACAAGAGCCATGCAAATAGCAACATCGAGTGTTTGTGGCCTAGAAACCAGTATCATAGCTTTGAGGTCGGGCCGAAGGCCATCGATAAATCTCATGGTATAAAACAGTGGATCAGTAGAAGCAGAATAGGATTTGAGGCGATCGATTAAGACGGAGAAACGCTTGACATAATCCGACACCATAGAAGTTTGTTTGATGTGGAACAATTGGCGAATTAAGGCTTCCTTCTAATCGCGATCAAATCGATCGTGCAAGGCTTGACAGAAGGATGTCCAATTGGCAGTAGCTAGAGTGTTTTCGATGGATTCATACCAGCCTGCAGCGGCGCCCTCCACATACATGGTGGTGACACTAAGCCAAAGGGAGGGATCTACGACGTACATGGTGAAGTATCGTTCGCAGCGAGAGCGCCAGAGGCGTGGGTTTTCGCCATCGAACTTAGATAATGGAAGTTTAGGGAGGCCTCCAGTTGGGTGTTGCAGGTCATGGGTGTCATGAGGAGTTGGGTGGCAAGGAGTCGAAAGTGGTGGACGAGGAGGTATGTAGAGCGGAGGGGGACGCGGTGGATGCGGAGCAGGTGCGGATGCGGAGGAAGGTGTGGAGAAGGGTACGGTGGAGCTGGTGGCCGGTGCGGAAGCGGAGGTGTCGAGCGCGGATGAAGGGGAGGAGGAGGGTCGGATTGCTTACCCATGACCGGGACGTGAGTCCAGACTGCCCTGGTCCCGAACCCACCATTCGGGTGAGACGAAGCATCGCCGTGCCCACTGGGCGCAGATGAAGAAGAGGCGAGGATGTTGGGCCATTGAGGCAAAACGTCGAACACCTTCGAGTCGCGACCTTGGATCAGCTTCTGCATCTCGATTCGCAGGTCGTCGACGAGCGCCTCCATCTCCGGGCGCCAAGTACCGAGGTCCGTGGCGGCTACCTCGAGGGCGGTGACGCGGTCGTCGCGCTCGTCGTTGGTGGGGTCGACGCAGACGGCCTCCAAATCGGCGACGCGCCTGCCGATGGTGTACGCCGTGTCGGCGCCTACGAGCTCGATGGAGTCGAGGCGTTTGTCGACTGCGGTGTCGCGGGCGGTGTGGGCTAGTTCGAGATCAGCGAATCGTCGCTCCCATTGCTCGTTGTGCTCGTCGAAACGACGCCCGAACTCCTCCGACTTCTAGATTTCCTCTAGAACCAACTTGAGATTCGGATCCATGGCTCCCAGAGAGCGTTGCAGACGGGTAAAGTGGGGACGAGGAGGATCGGAGGCCAGGACTCGAACAAAAATCTGATACCAATTGTAAGGAGGAATTGCTAGGAAAAAGAACACAAGAACAGGGGGCAGCTAACGGCGCGATAGCTGGATTACTCAAGCAGAATTTAGGTTTTCTGTTTTCCTCCCTATCCGATTCTCTCTCCCATGCTTCTACTTATTACATGTATTTATGCTTGCCACATTGGGCCAGCGAATCTTGTACTGGGCCGACGCATCCTCTTGGGCCGGACGTCCAGTGCAGCTCCCTCTTCAGTCCCAGGTGCGCCATCTTCACCTGTCAGTGGCACGGGCGGAGGCAGGTTGCCGGCCACCGCACTGGCTGTGGTCGTGGTCGGAGGCGAGGCACTAGTGGCCGGGGTCACTGTCAGTGCCAGGTCGATGGCACAAAACTTTTTTTCCCGCTCTCAAGATGCTCGACGAAACGCAGGAGTCGTTGATGCGCTTTTCAGCAAGCCCCGCTTCTTTGGCTGGCAGGTACATGACTTCAGTTCTGCTGCCTGGATATATTTTGTTTTGTTCCTCCGCGGGAATCGACTGCGTATTGATTTTAGCGAAGCATTCAAATTTACATATTATAAAAGAATAGGCAAATATTTGTGAAAGTTCTAGTCTCATTTGGATCTACAGGTTAAGTAACAACATAGCAGATTTTTTTTTTCTTTTTTTAAAAAAGTAACAACACAGCAGCATTCAAATTCAGTACATGGGGGTGCCAAATCAATGTACACTGCCCGTATTTTACTTTGGGGAAACTGGGGTTTACATTTTCATGCTGAGACTTGATATCAGTTTCAGAACAAATATCCATTACTGCGTCATGCTCTGGGAGGTAATATGTACAGATGCAGAGTGTTGTCCATGCAGATTATTAACGTGGAGATTCTCTCTGGCTTGCTTCTAGGATGGTACGGAGACGAGATGCAACTTCAGTGAAGGAAGGGCGTCTCTCAGGTTCAGTTGACCAGCATTGTTCCATCAGTTTCCTCCATTCTGGGTTACATGAAGTTGGCACCGGTGGCCGTAGTGTGTTGCTCAAAATACCCCCTGCATAACACACAGACAAAAGGTATGGTACATTATTCTGTATCCTTAGACACCATCGCTATCTGTATGAGAATGCATCCAGAAGAATATGCAAATCTTTATATTGTCTCAATCAATTTCTTGAATCCAGCAACTTCAATAAGGCTGCTGGTTTTCAACACTAGGCCTGGAACTGGCTAGTTAGTTGTCTCCTAAAAACTAGGACATAATCCAAGCTATCTTTGGCACCATTGACAACCCAGACAAAAATATTTCCTGGAAGTTCTTTATGATGACTTTGATGATTTTGGAAATCAAACTGGTCAAGGCACAACATTTCACCAACCTGGGCTTCTCAGTCAAGTGAAATATAGAATGGGGTGAGAGGAAATTTATATGAGGGAGTGTTAATGCGTCATTCTGGCTTTATGGATATAATATAATGGATATATGTTATTCCTTTGGTTGTGTGGTAATGTGAGCATCAGTAATCTATGAAATGAGACAGCAAGTGGCATATAAAAACTTTCAAAAAGCCTCTAGTTGTGTGAAATCAATAGCTGCTGTCCATACATTGAATGCTGTGGTTGTGGCCTGTGGGACATCAAGTTGCTTTGAAAGTCCATATTTTAAATTTGCATCAAGAAAATCACTCATACTCATACATAGGATGCTGTCAGCAACAAAGGTGTGGTGTCCTTGTTCAGAAGGAAGGTTTCATCTTAACATAAGCATACCTATCACTCCTCCATAGTGCATGCCATCATATGGATCCTCGCCCGTGATAATTTCCCACATTACAATGCCAAAAGAATAGACATCAATCTGTGCCAACACAAAAAAAAACATGTATTTGGTCTAGCAATTAGAAAAAAGAATGTCCATGTAGGAACCAAGCAATTCACCTTATTATTTCTGTCTGCAACTTTGCATTGGTAAACTTAAATTTTGGTGAATCTCTTGCTGTTAGGCTTTAACTATGTCAAAGAGTCAGAACAGTACCTTTTCAGATACTTTAGTGCTACTCATTGTTACCAACTCCGGGGCCATCCATGGAAGTGTTCCTCTCATTCCACCAGAAACAAGGGTGGCTTGTTTCATCTTCGATAAGCCAAAATCAGCAACCTGTAGTAATTGATTCTCTGTTATGTGCATCAACTCCAGCTGTATGCTAAATTTCAGCTTTCATGCCATACTGAACTTATCTTTTGTCAGCAATGCATTTAGAACTTGAGATGAAACAAATTTTACTGAGTTGTGTTGTAACTTACCTTGCAAATGGGACGAGATGGATCCTTAACATTTACTAGCAAGTTATCACATTTCAAATCAAAGTGGACAATGTCCTTGGAGTGCAAGTACTCCATCCCAATGGCTGCATCCATTGCAAGCATTATCCGTTTGCGCCAATCAAGATACTTGTCCTTGCGAAGGAGGATTTTCTTGAGAGATCCATTGACCATGAATTCTGTTACAGTAGCTAATGTTGCCTCAGGTCCGTTATTTACAACTCCATAAAATGCCAGAATGTTTGGGTGGTGAAGTTTCGAGAGGATGGCTGCTTCTCTCCAAAATTCCGTAATCTGCATGTTTGCACATGTTGTATTTCTTATGATGGATAAAGCAATAGTCCTTGTGTTCTTTTGATTAGCATTTAGTGAGAGTAATTTCTATATAGAATATTTGATTCTGAATCCTGTATCAAGATAATAAATCTGTGGCTGCTACAGTTGTTGCTCTGATCCCATATTAGCTAATATTTGCGGGCAAACATAGCAGCTGACTGCTTGTCCTGTACGGTTCATGTCCAATAACATGCAATTTAGGTTGTTTAGAGGAGAATGGAATCAGGGATATGTAACCTTATTTCTCAGTTCAGATAATAATATGAAACATCAGTACATAACATGATACCCTTGAAGAATATTGACACTGGGTTATACCTCTTAAACTGACCATGGACAAGACCCTTGGCTGTGCCCTCAAAAAATGCTGGTGAATTATAGAGGCTTACCAGCTTATCGGCTTGAGGTGATGATAACATAAAGCAAGTATTCTTTATCCGTTTAATAGCAACATCAGTCCCCTTCCATTTTCCATGGAAAACTGTTCCGAATGCACCGGATCCCATCTCACGGAGATCTTCGAGGTCCTCATTGCTTATTATCTGCCATATATGTCACTAATTTCAGGAATAAGTACTGCATAATTTCTATTTATTGCGGAAATGTAGGAATGTCCTTGGATATTTGCATATAAACCCTTTCTTTTGTATACACGCATTAAGTCTTGTTTTACGAACCAATTATCATTTTTACCTGTTTCTTTTGATCCTTTCAGTTATTTTTCCTGAGCTTCAAGTGGCTATGTTACATATTACAGAAGTTGACTACAAACCTGGACATTACTTGTAAGACCTCTGCCCAACTCTGCATTTTTCAGACTATCTTGTTCACTGTTCTTGGTTTCATGTTCCTACCAGGAAAACATATTTTTAAGTTATGCAGCAAGGTAATATTTTCAAATCAGCATATAAAAAGAAATGCGCAGATGTACTTCATGCTCTGAGATCAACGGTGCGATGTTGTCTTTAGCTTCTTGTGGCAGAACTATGATCTGAGGACTATTAGCACCAACTGACCGAGACTTGATCACTTTTGACGGTTGTTCATTGGGCCGTTCTTGTTGTCTCTCGCTCAAAGCACGCACTAGAGTATTTGGTTTCGGCTCAGTTCTCTTGTCTGAAGATGTAAAAGGGCTAGAAAGTAATGTTTCACTGCTATTGCTGGTAGTCTTGGATGGATGATCTTTCTCTGGAGTGTTACCGCACGTATTAGGAACTGCAGGCTGTTGCTGCTTCATGCTGTTGGTTGCAATTGACTTCTCCATAGTATGCAGGTTTGAACTGATGTCCATATCATCATGGCAGTGCATAGGAGAAGCAGACTCAGGACTATGTTCGGGTATCTCCGTCTTATTATGCAATTGGAAGTTGTTGTTATTTCTTGGTGGTTCTGTTGCTGCTGCTGAATGAGATATACCTTCTTCCTGGGTGCTATTCCTTTTTGGTCTCATCTTCTTATTGTCAGAGCTTGTTTGTTGATTCACCGTTTTCTGGGAGCCCCTTGATGAAGATTCAAGTATAACAAACACGGATTGATTTGTATGGGGTGTTGGACTTGAATTAGATGATGATATGTTCACATTGCTGTTGTCTAGTGGTATCAGCAGCTCTTTTCTCAGTGATCCTTTTTCCTGAGATCCTGTAGCTTGATGGCCCTTTCCAGTTATAGTTGTAGTAGTTTGCTGCATTTCTGGCTGATGTCTTGAGACAGCATGATCACTACTGGTCCCTCTCGTAGCTGCATGTGTGGATTCAGATGGCACACATGGACCAAAGTGAACATTTCTACCAGAGGTGATCAGGTTGCCTTCCCTGTTTTGCACATTATCTTTTCTGGCCTTCCGTGTCAGGAATTTTGGTGTTGGAAGTGTCTTCTCCAGCGGCCCACTTGATGTTTTTGGCAGTTCTACAACGATCCCTTGCGAGGGCTTGCCTTTGATGTGCATTGAATATTCCTCTTCCATGCCTGCCGGCAACCTATCCTCTTTGGCGCCAAGCATCACCTGATCTAGATCACTGGCTGACATGCTCCCAAGGCTGTGCATTCTTGATGCCACAATTGGTGCGGCGAGTCCATTGACGAGAGCAATGAAGTGTGCTTCCTTTTCTGCCTCGGATGATGAGCGTGCGACAAGGAAGTGCACACCATGCTCATCCTCGTTCGCGGAGAAAAGGTACATGGTAAGTCTCTCTCTGCTTGCTTCTAGAAATATGCACTCATCAATCATGTTGCGAAGGTCATCGTCAGAGGTGATGGAAATGAGCATGTTCAGTTGCTCCCCTGGGAGATGGTACTTGATCGTGTGATCCCGCCTGATTAGCTTTGTTGTCTTGCAGGTCAGCTCGCGCCATGACATGTCTCGGTCAATCCGAACCAGATGCCTCTCGCCACCAACGTACCGGAGCTCCCCGTCACTTGGCCTTGGTAAGAACACGCCGCCAAAGCTGCAGATGAACTTTATCTTCTTTCGCTGAACTTGATAAGGGTTTGGAGGGATTTGCTTCCATGATGCTTGGCTGCTGCTGCTGCTGCTGGTCGTGGTGCCACCGAATGGAGGACTTGTTGGCAGCTGCTTTTGGGGTTTTTGTTCGTAAATGTTGAACACTTGTTCTCTCCAGTCCATGTTGCTGATTTTGAGAGTGCCTGAACTGAAGTTAGCTGTGGTCCTAGGTTGTTGACGGCAAAACTACTAGGAACCTTTAACTGGTAGGTCCAGGGCCTTGATTCCTGTCCAGTCATAACATAACAGGGACGATAAGAACCTTGTTGAGCACCGAGCTACAAATAGATGGCAACACGAGATCGACCGACCGAAAAAGGAAGCAAAAGAAGAATCATAAGTGCTGCCTTTTTGTTTGTGTATTTTCAGGCGGATGGGAGTGTTTTTTTCTGGGAATTATCATGGAACACTACGGAAACTTGAATCTAAGTATCAAAGTGGAAGGCAGGCATGCTGCACGCAGTGAGAAAGCAGAAGAGAAGCTACTGAACTGACCTGATCTCTAGCCTCTGGGTCTCAGCTGACGGGTTGCTGCTGGCAGAGGTGAGAGCTGAACATGGCCAACTCAAGCCTGTGCTGTTTTGCTTCAGTTGTGACTTGTGAAGAAGCTGCCTGTTCCGGCTGCTGATATGCGCATAACAGTGGACAGGAGTCGTTGTTGGCTGACTCAGCTGTCTGTGATTGATTGGATCGGCGGCACCTTGATGACCTCCAGTCGGTTGACCGCGGGCAAGGGCAAACCGGCCCAAGACCAAAAGGGCTGGGCGGCTGGCTATTGTCTGGTGATAATAATTAAGAAATAATCAGCCTATGGTTTCAGCTGAATTAGCTTATAAGCCATGGCTGAAAGTACTGTTTGCTAGTTTGGTGTGAAAGAAAAACATTGTTCATATAAGTTCAGATACGATCGAATAAGTCGAAATAAACGGGCCGAATACCAGAATGGGAACAGGAGTACGTACCTTTGCCTGTCACTGTTTTGCATGATGTGGCCGGCGTTACTCAACTTGTCGTCATTGCGAGGATGACGATACTCGAATAATACGGCTGCCATTGCCCAGTTGACAGCCAATCTTCCAGGCCTTTTTTTTTTGCTAACATTTGGTCTTTTTTTTGGAGAATCTTTTTTTATGAGTTGCAGACTAGCACCCGGTAGTCCACGGGGGAAAGAGCTAGCAACTGATTGGAGTGGATGTTAACTACTCCCTCAATCTTAAAACGAGTACAATTGTAGGTTTAGAACAAGTCAAATTTTCTTAGATTTGACAAAGTTTATAGAAAAATAATATTCATATTTGTGTCTCTAAATGAATGTACTACGAAAATATTTTTGTACTCAATTTAATAACTTATTTGGCAATGCTAGTAATTTCTGTATAAATTTATACTCCCTCCTTTTCAAGGAGAATGTCACTATGGGATTCGTGCATACTTGTTAAACTTTAGCAACATTTGTTCTCCAAATAAATTTATTGTGAAAATGATCCGATGATTCATGATACCATAATTAATAATGTTTTCTTATACATATTTGGTTAAAATTTGACAACCTTTTAGGACGAGGGAGTTTTTAATAAAAAATTGTTTGCATTAATGAATCATTCTATTTTTTTAGCACTATTAATGCATTATTCTCGGAGCCGGACCGAAAACAAATCGGCCTGGCCCATTCCATTCAGCCAGCAGCCACAGACGCCCAGGCCCAAGCCTAGACCAGGCCATGCCAACTAAATCCTGAGAGGCCGCGCGGCAGTGGGGCAGGGAGAAGAAAGCAGGGAAAAGCATCAGCAGCGTCGCCGCCGCCACAACTCCAGTGCCGCCGCTAGAGCCCTAAACCCTAGCCAGACCATCCATGGCCGCCGCTACCCAGACTCTGTCAGCTCCTCCGCCCGCTGCCGCGGCCGCCCCGAACCCCGGCAAGCGCAAGAGGCAACCCAAGGGCAAGAAGAAGAAGAATAAGCTCGCGCGCTCCGACCAGGACGACTCCGTCCGCCGCCGCCGCAACAAGCCCAGCGCCAAGTTCCTCAAGCTGCTCCGGAAGCGGGCCCGCGACTACAACTCCGACGATGAAGAGGAAAAAGATGACGATCAGCAGCAGGAGCACCCGCCGAATCCCCGCCGCCGTGACGACGGCGACGATGACGAGGCCCTCTCCCACTCCGAGCCGGAGGAGGACGAGGACGGGGAGGACGAAGAGGAGGGGGCCTCCAGCTCGGCCGTCACGAGGTTCGAGCAAGGCTGCAGGGCGTTCCGCGTCGCCTTCCTCAAGATCATGGCCAAGAAACTCCCCGACAATCCCCTGGTAATTCCCAGCCTTCATTTCTTCCGATATAGTTTTTCTGCATTTCGTCATTTGTTGTTGTCTGGCTGGCTGGCTGGCTGGCTGGCGTATGACGGGCAATCAATTGAGACGAAACAGAGGAAGGAAAATGTGAGCTGTCTCTGCTAGACTGCTAACAAGTTTCCCTCTCATTAGGGTCCAATCATGTCAGCGCACAAGACATTGGTGGCCGCCAAGTTAGCCGAGGAGGTGGAGGAGCACAAGCCCAAGGGGGAGGCTCGGAAGGAGAAGCGAGTGGTACCGCTCTCACCCTCCTTGCACATTAGGTGCACTCTCCTTGAAATATGGTTACTGCAAGCCATTAATTAATTTGATCTTGTTTGGTGGAAACGGAAAATTTAGGCAGCAGAGAAGGGCCATGTCATACCTAAAGACCACTTGGACAGCAAAGAAAAGGAGCTCATCAAGGTTGCAACCAAGGGGGGTAATGCTCTGTTTTAAATACCATGTCGTTTTGCATCTCTCAAATTGTAGATTTACCGAATTGAATGTGTTGTTGACTAAAATTTGTTTTTTACTTGTATTGTTCGGCCGCTGGTCAATCAGTTGTCAGGCTTTTCAATGCGGTAAGCACACCAATCTTATCTCAGTCCCTCTGACTTTTAAACTCTACATGCTACTTTTCTTCATTGTAGTGATCTGAACTGTGTTTACTCCACCTATTCTTGCCTCTGTAATGGTTTTGGGTGTTCATCGATTATATGACAGTAGGTACAGTAGTATTCTAGATGTTAGGACAGACTACAGAGAACCCTCTAACCACTTACCACTCCATGTTTGTTCAACAGATATAATTATTTTGTCCAATGTTTAAAATGGCTTCACTTACATACTAAATGATAGTGGAAAAAAACTTATATGGATATTAGTATATTCTGCACCGATGGGCTGATAGTTATTGAAATCGCCTTTTCTTTCCAGGTGAGCAAGGCACAGAAGCCTCGGAAAGATTTGAATCCATCAAGGACTAAAGATGCCAAAGGTATGATGTTGACCTCCTCACTCTACTATGCTATAGCCGTTCCTCCTCTCCCTTTTTTTTGGAGTCTATGAATTGCATTGTTCATTGTATTCTACACTGCATCTGCTAAAACTCAATTTTTTCCAGTGCCATATATAGAGTTATGCTTGGCTGGAAGCTATATAACATATTTCTTACATTCCTTCTTAGAGGCTTTTAGTTATTTCTGTATTATAGATGTCATGATTAATGTTGTTGACTTAATTGAGGAAGATTAACATCCAACATGCAAAGTTCCTTTGCAAACACTTTGTGTAGGGTGGATTTATTTATACTAGAAAAATCCTGTACAGCTAGTAGAGTAATAGGGCCTGGACTACTTCAACAGTTGAGCATATGAATGAGTCGCTCTTCTTCATGAGAAGAAAAAGTTTCTGCTCGAGAAATGCAATGTTAATGAAACAAAATTAAGATAAGAAAAAAATGTTTTTTATGAGAAAAAGAAGAATAAAAAATGTTCTAGCTTTAGAAAGAAAAATTATTATCACATTTCAAGATGAAATAAAAATATTCTAGAAGTGATACCACAAAAGAAATGGATGCATATTATCACATCTCTCTAATTGGATGCATAGTAAGGAATTATATAAAGTAAGAGAATTTATAATACCACATTGGATTTAACATGAGTGACCTGGACAACAGCATTCATATGCTATCATATGTATGTGTGTTTGATTTACCAGGAAAGTCCTGGGCACTTCAATGCCATATTCCAAATAGATATGATAGCGTTTGTATGTGCAGATGGACTTTTCTCACTTCTAGAATATTTTTATTTAACTTGAAACATTTTTCTTATAAAACTAGAGCATTTTGATTTCTCATGAAATAGGCACTTATCAAATTTGGTCTTATCTAGTACTTCAACTCATACTGGGGTTGGTTTGTATTCTTGTTGTTCTTGAGCAGTGTAGGACTATGTTAGCTGGACCTACAAAACCCACAAATGATGGACCACTCAATATGTCTTCTTGATATATGATTCAATGAATGCAAACAGATGCACACTCGCTTTGATTACTCAAACATACAAATTAAGAGGTCCAAACAACGACAGCATCTGCTGCCTTTCATTGCACTGCAGTACTGTGTTACACTGTTATTTCAAACCTTTGTTGTACACACTGTGTTTGTGTTTATACATTTCATTTTGAGACGTGCCAGCAGTGATCATATCCTAATATTCTGAACGACTTCCTGATAACACCTGACAGTTCTACAAAAAGAAAGAAAAAACACCTTCCTCGCGGAACTGGAGATGCCATCTCATCAAGATAAAAAGAGCAAGGCATCTTCCAATTTCTCCAAGGTACCTACTGCAAATTATTTCTTTGGTGACTCTTATTTGGACAATATGCCACTGATGTCTCACTGCCATGGCATTTGCCAAACTAGTTACAGGAACACCACCCACTTTCCACATCTACATATATTGATTGATGCCTGGGAAATTGTATTATGACTTGGCATGAATTTCAAACTATAGCTATAGCACACTACCCATTATGCACTTGAATCTCAACCTTTAGTATCATGGAGGTCAAACTAAATTCTGCTGAATGTTTTATTGTTGTGATGAGGATTTTTGACACGAGCATTAGGAGATCAGGATTTATTGAATGGCAGGCTTTGTATTAGCCACAATATCTCTATAAGGTGTCTAAGCAATCAAACCGATAGTTACTAAAGCTGTATTATTGATAAAACAACCTTAACTTGCTAGTTCATTGTTTGGGCAAGTTCATTGCAATAAGAGTAACCACACTTAATCAATTTTCTAAAAGGTATCCACTTAGGTGCTGGGCGCCACTTGGTTGTTGTTATTTTGCTTTAATAGGCTAACTGGACGGGATGGTTGACTAGACCTGGCAACAATAATCATTGGAGTAACTGGTTTAGTAGTAGTAACCATGAGCACCGTGACATGATCACCTGAACCATCCTCTTGTTTCTGTGCTCCAGGCTCTTACTGGTAAAGACAACAAGCGTAATTTTCCTGTTGTGCTACGCAGTACCCAGGCTCCTATTGCCTTGGGTGTTTTATTTCATTGCACTTTACCTAAGCCCTCAGGTGTGGTTGTCCACATGTTTCAACGACCTCAGATTCAAATATTAGATTAAAATTTCAGTTGGTTTGAAAATGATTTGTTAGAAAATGTGGTCTAAAGATTTGTTGTTTGCCATGTCAATGTGGCAAGGATGACACAGCCAGACGGTAGTGGTAAAATTAGCAGTCTAAATTTTTGGTTTCACAAATTGAAGTGTCACATGTTGTGTTGTTTTTAGTCTTTAGCCTAACAGGTGTTATTAGTTGATTCAATATTTGCTTTGTAAGTGAACCTTAATGCCTTGAGCTGTCTTTCTCATAATTGATCTGCCCGTTCTAGCATACTGGCAAAGATGAAGATGAACCAGCATGGGCACCTCTTCGTGACACATACATGCTTGGTTCTAAATTGAAGGACTGGGACAAAATGAAGGTAATGTCTCCTCATTTATGTGTTCTTTTTCCTGTTGGCCCAAAAGTGGTAATTCATATATGTGGCCCACTTTGCCTTTTGTCTCTAACTGACCTTTTATGTTTCATGGGTAGGATTCTTCTGCGGCCAGTGAGGAAAAGAAGGTTCCTTTAAGTGACTCTTCTGATGAGGAATAGGAACATAAGTAGTCTGTGTTAGTAGAAGCAGCATGTATCTTGCTTTGCATAATGTTGTCCTCGTTGCTTGTAAAAGCGTGTTGAGATGGTGTCTGGATATTCAGATTATTAATTTCACACCTCGCTCCCCTTTTCGGGATTTTTGGTTGCACGCATTTGTTCTGAATCTATAGTATATATGTATCCTTTATATTGGCATTAGTGATGGATGTGAACAAAACAGCAGTATTAGAACTTAGAAGCCTCGCCCTTGTGATATCGCGTTGCATCTGTTGGGTGCATTTGATTAGGTTTGTAATGGGTGAGATCGCACTCGGACAATCTATAGGATACTATCATGACTGTTCAGCAATTGTATCCATTGTCTGCCCTTGCCTACCACCAAATTCTACTACTGCCATTTCAAATTTTCTAGATATGTAGCTTTTGTTATGTATTTAAATGTACATTATGTTTAGATATGTAATAAAATCAATGTATCTAGAAATTCCGAAATGGCTATAATTTGGAACAGAGGCAGTAGTAAGATGCAGAAATGTATTAAGGTGCCTGCTCCGATAGGCCAGATGACTTAGACATGCATTGTTTCAGCGTTCATTCTCAGCTCTGGTGAAAGGTAAACACATCCGACTGTTGAGGACAACTGGTGTACACTGAACTGTGGTAAGATAAGATCAGAGTTGGAAGGTGACTCAAAGTAGGCATTTCCCAGCAAATAAATCAGTGCAAGAAGACGAGATCGTTCTTCATCATGTATAAACAGGACGGATGAGAGACAGACATTGTCTTTTTTTCCAATGTTCAGGAAACACATACCAAGCAACTAACCCCTAGACATTGTCTTTTTTTTTTCCCAGGCTGAATGAACTCTAAAAGTAGAGAGGCTCTTGTCAGCTTTTTCATACTCGAACTCAGATTATAACATGAGCTCACACCGTACAAGTGTCCCTAATCTATATCTGTTCCTAACTGCTAAGTCTGAAATGTGTATTGTTGGCAGAATTCAGTGCATTTTCAGGTTTGCCAATGTCTTTCTCCATGTACTGGTTAAACTAGGAATGAACCCTGACTGACTTTAATGTTCCCGGTTTCATCTCAATGTACCCCTCTCCTGCCAGGAGGTCAGTAAAAATCAGTTGAACAAGAGTGGCTCTGTCCAGCTCCAGTTCGTTCAGTCACAAGTTTTTATGGCTTATAAGAATGGAGAAGAGCAATAACCATAATTCAGGCTTCTGCAGACAACAAGAACCACAGATCAGCTGCTTCAGATGGAAGCAACAGTTAAAGAATAAGGAGAAGGGATAGACTACTAGTCCGGCGAGTTTTTACCGCCAATTCTCATTGTTAAGTACCAATTCAGCTGCTTTAGTAAATCTTGTGTTATTTTCAGATTCAGCAAACCTGCGTGTATGGACAACAGGGGTTCTTTTTTTTGAAACAAGACAACAGGGGTTCTCCAAAAATGTTCTTACTCACCAGAAGCTAGACAAAAAAAGAAAAAAAAAAGGCAAAGGGATATAAGCATGTCGCAATTTGGCACAGCTACTTTACTTGCTGTCACTCAAGCGTGTGGGGCACAAGAAATTGACTGAAGAAATATGTAAGAAATTCAGTTCATGAAAAATCACAAGGGAACCATGCTACCACAGATTACACTCATCTAGAAATACATTTCAACCAACATGTTGCCCAAGCTAAACTTAAATTTCAGGCTTCAAAAATTTCAACCACTCAATGTGAGCCGGAATCCTGGCCCACCACCCAAAGTTAAAAAGTAATGTGTGGCTGAGAAAAATGCAAACAAGATTGCTGATAATATAATTTAGTTCACCTTTTCAACCTGACAGCTAAATTAAGGTAATTAGCCATCTTAATCTTAGCCTCAAGAAAGAGATACAGGTAAAACCAGCACTCACAGGTAAAATGTGAATTTAGGCAAGGTTGCATCAAAGTGAGGCTGCCCGCAGGAAAATTCACTTTGTTAGCTGGTTACTCACCTTAAGAATAGATCCAAATTAGTTTGAGCATAGGCATTGATCTGTTTGTTGGGCTAACCACCTTAACAAGCATGAGCATTTCGCTAGTAATATCAAAGAGCAACATCTAATTGTCCTAAAAACAACTCATACTCTCATCCAACAAATAACTAAACACGCATCCAACAAACAAATCAATGCAAGACCATGAGATCAACAGCAGTCTAAGTCAATTCATTCATAAGCAATCAAAAGGGCTGGCTGAGTGACGAAGCTAGCTATCCTAATTTAATACATACAGTGGCTAACAAGACACAAGGTTCTTGTTTCCCTATTGTTCCCTGATCCCTTCCTCTCTTTCTTAGCTCGAAACCAAATTAAATCCCCCCCTCCCCAAATCTCTTCCCCATCTCCCATCTCCAAATTTGAAATAAAATTCTATATAGGATTACACCAGATTGTGTCCCTAGACCTTGCACACCAATATTATCAAGCTTGTGCTGAACTGAATTCAGTCTCCGAACTGAAATAAAAAAAAAAATCTATTTACTGAAATTAAACTGCAACTGAACAATCCAATCAACTTGTGTATCTCTGTCAGATAGAATGTTCAGACTGACAGAACATCAAAGAGTAGCATCAAATCATCCCTAAAATAACTCAATGCTCTCATCCAGAAAGCAAACATCCAACAAAAAAAGAAATCAATGGGACATGACCGGATGAAGAGCATGTGATTCATTCATTGATTCATCATTCATAAGCAATAAGCACAGCTGGTTGAGTGACAGAAATACAAACCATCCAACATTTGAGTACATGATAAACCAGGGGAGCCTAGTCTAACTTAATACGGTAGCTAATAAGAAGACACAAAATTAAAGAGGTTCTGCATAGTACCATAGCTTTGTCTCTTACCATTTCATTCATTCATTTCATTATTACTGACTGAGAGAGAAATAAGCTACTGTATGCAAAAATTATTAAGAAGAGAAGGGCGGAGCGGAGATGCATATCGAAGGCAGATGGATGGATGGACGACACAAATATATAAGAAAGATGACGATGGTGATGCGGCGGAGCGGATAGGGTTGTTCACTCGGATCTGGCGGCGTATCGCTCGACCTTTGGGTCGTTGAGGTTGATGCCGACCATGGCCTCCCCTAGTCCCGCGCTGACATCAGCCAGGATGGTGGGGTCGCTGTAGTGGGTGACAGCCTGGACGATGGCGCGCGCGCGGCGGGCGGGGTCGCCGCTCTTGAAGATTCCGGAGCCGACGAAGACGCCGTCGCATCCGAGCTGCATCATGAGCGCGGCGTCGGCGGGCGTGGCCACACCCCCGGCCGCGAACTGCACGACGGGGAGTCGGCCCAGCTGCTTGGTCTGCATCACGAGGTCGTAGGGCGCGGCGATGCGCTTGGCATAGGCGAAGACCTCGTCGTCGTCCATGTTCCGGAGCGCGCGGACGTCGCCCATGACGGAGCGTACATGACGCACCGCCTCGACGATGTTCCCCGTCCCGGCCTCCCCCTTGGTGCGGATCATGGCGGCGCCCTCGCGGACCCTGCGGAGCGCCTCGCCGAGGTCGCGGCACCCGCAGACGAAGGGCACGCGGAAGTTGTGCTTGTTGATGTGGTGCGCGTCGTCGGCGGGGGTGAGGACCTCGCTCTCGTCCACGTAGTCGACGCCGATGGCCTCCAGGATCTGCGCCTCGACGAAGTGGCCGATGCGGGCTTTCGCCATGACGGGGATGGTGACGGCGCGCTTGATGTCGCGGATGAGGCCCGGGTCCGACATCCGCGCCACCCCGCCCTGCGCGCGGATGTCGGCGGGCACACGCTCCAGCGCCATCACGGCGCAGGCCCCGGCCTCCTCCGCGATGCGGGCCTGTTCCGGGGTGACGACGTCCATGATGACCCCGCCACGGAGCATCTGCGCGAGACCCACCTTGACGGAGAAAGTCGCCGACTTTGGCTGCTTCGAGGGCTCCAGCAGCGCCGCGCCGTTGTTGCCGTACACCGTCACCACGCCGCTGCCGTCGGACGCCATTGTTTTGGTTGGTTGGGTGTGGAGGGATTGGATTGGAATGGAATGGATTAGATTGGATTGGATCGGCGTGGGGAGGGAGAAGAGAAGGAGGGTTCTAGAGACTGCCTGCCGCGGAGTGCTGGACGGCCTCTTTTGCTTTCCTTGATGCGGGTGCCTTCCGTCCCCCTATCTATCCTCTCGGGAAGGTTCAGGTTGAGGGGAGAAGAAGAGAGGAGGGCGGCGGCGGCGGGGTGGGTGGTAAATGGATGGAGGAAGGAGGGGAGGAGTGATGGGCCACGACCACTGGTGGTGTGCTAACGGGCGGCCCAAATGCGAGTGGGCTGAGTGGCTGCTCACCCTCCATCCATCCATTTTCACTGCCACTCCTTCTCTCTCCTTATCTGACAGAGACGCCTAGGGTAGAGAAGCAACCAAGTCCCAACTCCCGAGCTAATGAACGCTTCAGCTCAGCTCAACTGCCATGGTTTTGGTGCTGGCAGCTCATTTCTCAGCCTACCTACTTTTCACTGTTAATATATTATCTTCTTTTCTCATAAGAATTTTTTGATTCTTATATATAAACTGGCTGTAAACTTACACCCACTTTCTTTCTTTCTCCTCTTTTGTTTTCTCCACTTCCTTATTTATCCTATCTGAAGCCTGTTATTATACTTAGTTGCCGTCTGGATCTCAATGGATTTTGAGAATCCGGATAAAAAATCGCTATAATTTTATTAGATTTTGAAATTCTAAAAACCTATGAGTTAAAATCCTTATAAACATAGACAGCTTGGATGAGGATCTAGGATTGTAAGATTTTTTTTTTCTATCTGGATTCTCGTAATCCAGAGGATGCAAATCGAGCCTTAGCTTTTATCACGGTTGGATTGGATGGTGCAGTCGCAGTTCACGAATCCAACCTCACCTTCGCTTCCTCTCCCCCTTCTTCCTTTTCCTCTACACTGACTGAAAAAAGCTAAAATATCACGGGTGCCACTACTTTCCAAGATTTTTTTCTACACCTTTAGCTTTTTCATTATATTAGTACCATATATACAACAAAAGATGCAGCTTTTTCTCGTTCTCTTAGTTTAAAAAAAAACAAACGGAGAGACGCCTTTTTGATTCTTGAACAAACAATACGCCAGGGTAACAAATACATACACTACACTACGTGGAACAGGACAGAATCATAGGAAAACATACAAAACAAGATTCCGAGCAGAGCAATTTGGTTGGTGATGGTGACATCGACAAGGCGCCACACATTTTTCATCACAAAATGCTGCTCCTGCTGCATTTCTCGTATCTTTCCATTAGTTCCATGCAATCATGAATGGACTGCAACAGACACTCAGACAGAGAGATAGAAAGAGGAAACAAAACAAACTACGTCTGTCGCCCCCAAGTCTCCTTGCTGCTGCTCCTATTTCAGAGCTGCATTTGGATGGATGGGCTGTGATTGGCTCAGGGAGCTCCACCAGCTCCCATTCAGCACTTTCTTCAGGCCAAGAAACTAAGGGTTTTTTTTCTCTTTTAAGAAAGGAAGTTCTAACCATCACTCAGGTTTTGTCGTCTTCATTCAGTCGATTCTCTTTTTCTTTTTCTACGGCAAATGTTTGACGTGGGCTTTATTTTTCTTCTTGTGGTTTCTTGAATACAGCCTGGGCCATAACGACGGCTGCTAGTCTGCCACATGTTTATTAGAGAAGGGAAAAATCTATTTAACATCCCTCAACTAAGGCCCAAGTTCGATTTACCACCCTCAATTTACCTACCTAATATAAGCAGTTTTGAAGCGGTTTTAGTTAACATGGCGCCATGTTAGTCACAGGGAGGTAAATCAGACTTTCGCGATAGTTCAAAGATGTCAATTAAACTTCATAAAAAAATTACAGAAATATCTTTTCAAATAGTTATCCAAATATTTTTGTAGGAAAAAATTTAGAAATACTAAAATCGTATCTAACCTTAGAAAATTCATAGAAATTTTGTTTCAACTAAAAAATTTTGAAATCGATTTTATTTTTTTTATAAATCATGTTATACATTTTTTTCTTGCTTAGAATTGTTTGACTCTTATATGGTTTCCAAAAATCTAAAACTAGGCCAATATAAAATGGAGGATGCAAGCCAAGACAAATCCTTGCAGACTACAACGTGAATCCACAATGCAAACCGCAAACAACGTTTCCTCACAAGCACGTCTTTGCTTAACTATCTAGACATACACGAGAAATTCTAAATAAAAATACAATGTTGTAAATAGTGGCTATGATATTTAACGAGGTCTTCCTCTAAAAACTATAGAGGATGCTATTTAATTCAGCGATTTTATTGTAAAATATGAAAACACTTAACTAATTATGCACGGAAACATTTATCTATGACATGGACATGTATACTCAAATCCGAATGGACGTGACCGCTTCCCTGTTTGCCGCCTCCGTTATAGGTCTGCACATGCATGGGGACTCGGGGACACATAATCGACCAGGAAGATAGGTTGGATGGACTCGAGATGCCAGACTTCATGTGTTTCTTAAAATCATATATTTTGTATTATGGTGCCTATCCTAGGAAAACATGAAGCAAGATTTTAGGAAAATCTGAAACTAATATTATATTTTTGTAAGTTAAAACAATTTTTCTATATTTTCTTGAGGTTAGATCAGTTTTCAGTATTTTCAAAATATTTGGATAATTTTTTGGAAAATTATTTCTACAGTTTTTTGATGAAGTTTAATTAATATCCCTAAACTATCGCAAAAGTCTAATTTACCTCCTTCGTGGTTGACGTGGCGCCACGTAGGGCGGATGACGTGGCGTCGTGTCGGCTATAAAACCACTTTCGAAATCGCTCATGGAGGTAAATCAGACGGTCTCAAAAAGATGGGAGAGTCTACAAATCTGGTTTTTAAATTGAGGGAGATAAATTAGACTTGTGCAATAGTTTTTTTTTAGTGGATAGACTTGTGCAATAGTTTTTTTTAACTGACTTGTGCAATAGTTGAGAGAGGTTAGACGATTTTTTTCCTTCAGCGAACCTTAGGCAGCTTTGTACGGGCTGGAAGCCCAAAAGCTACTCAGATTGGGCTCCTAGTCCATTACATATTCTGAAAGCACCTGCTCTGCCCAGTCCTGATTTCGCATTGCATTGTGCCACACGTTACAACGAACACAAACTACTAGTACTGTAGTAGCAAAACACTAAGGCCCACCCAGTGAGAACCAATCACAGAAAATAATGGTATATTGATATTGACATGCATGACACGGCCGGGTAGTTTATCAAAATTTGTGGTTCTTTTTTTTAGGGAAAATTCAATTTTCATTAACCAGACATAGCTGAATCTTCAGCAAATACATGATAGGCATGTGCCGGCAATGGGGCCGTTCGGCTGGTGCAAAAAAAAAAAAAAACTGTGCACGGCTGATTTCTACTGTTCATGGTTTATTTTCTGTTATAAATTCCTCTGGATTCATCCAGATTCCTCCAAATTCCTCCAAGCGAACGAAGCCAATGAGGTCCTCATCCAGATCACAAAAATTACCTAGGATAGCCAATTCGTGCGCTACTCTATTACAAGAGCGAGGGCGTTACTGAACACGCCAAGAGATGAAATTAAACTCTAACAAGCTGCGAAGCTCCCCAACAAGAAAAGTTACTGCACTAAGATCGAAAGCATCAGAGTAAACAGCTTTCACTATTTTATTTTTTATTTAAAAATAGCTTTGTAGTCCATCTCATAGGAAAAGTATAACTTCATGGTGACGCTGCTCTTTTTCTAATATATAAAGAAAAACAATCTGGCCTCATCTTTTATAAGCAAGAGAATCAAAGCAATTATTATAAAAGTTTAGCAACATACATAGCAAAACTCACTCAAATGTCATCTAGTATTATTTGGCCATCCAAAGGAGGCTTTTGTCATCTAGTATTATTTCGTACTACCTTTGGCTTTTTCATTATATTATTGTACCATGCATATATATAACAAAGATGCAGCTTTTTCTCGTTTTCTTAGTTTAAAACAAACAGCAGAGAGAGTGCCTTTTGATTCTTGAACAAACAATACGCCGGCCAGGGAAACAAATACACTACGCGGCGTGGACAGGACACAATCATATATATAGCAAACATAGAAAACAAGATTCAGAGGAGAGCAATTTGGTTGGTGATGGTGACATCGACAAGCCGCCACACATTTTTCATCACAAAACTGCATGCTGCTCCTGCTGCATTTCTCAATCTCATTAGTTTCATGCAATCTTGAATGGGGCAGAGAGACAAGAGAGAGTGAGGAAAGAAACAATGGTAATGCTCTTTACCGGGGCATCCGGACGGGATGGATCCGTCTGCACCTCGCGCTGCGCACGGTCGAGGACCGACCTCCACGCCGTGGCATCGAGCTCCGTGCCGGCGTCAAGCTCCACGTCAATGAGCGTCCATTGGGAGGCAGCAAGTAGATGAGCACATGTTGCAATCATATGTTTCATGCGTTTCAGATGTATGTTGCATATGTTTCATCTGGATGGTGCAAAAGTAGATCTGGTGTTGCATATGTTGCAATGACTATACATGTATGTTGCAAGTGTATGTTTCAAATGTTTCAGCTGTTTCAAACACATGTTGCAAGTGGTTTATCTGGATGTTGCATATGTTGCACTGGCTATACACGTACGTTGCAAGTGTATGTTTTAAATGTTTCAGCTATTCTCAAACGTATGTTGCAAATATTTTATCTGGATGTTACATGTTACAGTGCCCATACATATATGTTGCAAACGTATGTTATAAATGTTTCATCTGTCTCGGAAGTATGTTACAGCAAATGCTTTATGTTGCAAGTGTTTCATGAGCAGGCACGCAAGGGAGCGCGGGAGAAGGTGGTCCCATTGGGCACAGCGGTCCCGGTGTGCGTGCATGAAGCGAAGCGGGCGTGGTAGCAGGCGTGGAGCACGAAATTGCATCTATGGGCGGGCCACAGGCGCAGAGTACGAGGTGAAGCGGAGCACGA